GCGCGGGCCCATGGCTGCGGCGCGGCGAGCGCGGGAGGGCGCTGAGGCGGCGGCGGCGGCGGCGGGGGCGGGGGCCGGGGGCGGCGGGGGCCAAGCCGGCAGGCGCCGCGGAGGCCTCTGAGGAGGACGGCGGGGAGGCCGCGGAAGAGGAGGTGAGATGCTCGCGGTACCCGAGCGAACGCCGCCGCCACCGCCGCCGCCGCCGCCGCCGCCGCCGCCGCACGCGCCCCGCCTTCCGTCGGGCCTGACGTCAGCGCGTCGTGGCGCCCGCAGGCCCCGCCCCTCGCAGGCCTTCCTTAAAGGCGGGTGCCGCGGCGCGGGGGCTCGCGGCTGGTGGCGGGGTCGGGAAGGGGGCTTTGTGTCCTTCCCGCGGGCGGTCGCGTCTGGTCCGGCCCGGGACCCTGGGGCCGGGACCCGGGGCCGGGGGTGTGTATCACCACCCGGGCGCGCGCGGCGCGGTGGGTCATGCGGCGCCGGGCACGGGGGAGGACCGCCGGGTGGGCACCTGTCCCGACAGGGCCGGGTCCCGCCTGCGCGGACGGCGGAGCGCGGGGCGCGAACCTGCTGGGTCCGGGGGAAGCGCGCGCGGCGCTGGGCACCGCCGGCGGGGTCGGGTGGACGGCGGCCGCGGCGCAGCGGGCGTGCGACTGCCCTGCGAGCGCGAAGGAGCGCCGGGCGAAGCGCCGGCCCCTGTCTTGGACCCGGCACGAAGCTCCGTTCCATGGGTCCTCGCCGGGCCGCCGTCGGGCCTCCCCAACACGGTCTCGGACCGCTGACGTCCGCTTCTCTAGAGGTCGCCGGTGTCCGCGGGGACGCCGGGCGCCCGAGGCGCGAAAGAGGAGACTTGCTGGTTAGGAGCAGGTGAGCCGCGAGCCGCAGGCGGGCGAGGGGCTAAACTTAGCCTGTAACGACGTGTGTCAGGGGAAGGCGTGAACTGGTATTTTTACCGGCCGTGGGCACCAGCACCAGATACGTTTCGTAAGCAGCTCTGGCAAGAGCCGAAGGAAACCGAACCTCCGTTTCCAAGTGTGCAGTGGAACAGGGCGGTAATGACGTGACTCACCCCCCACGACAAAATCCCAGGGCTCGCAGGACCAGAGTTTGTAAGGTCGGCGTTGGGAACACAGAGCCAAGGGATCCTCCTCCCCAAATTTATCAGTTCCTTTTGGGCGCTGTGTGCTCTCGTGAGGAAGATGTTAAGTTCAGAGGGGAAAAAAAAAAAAGAATCGTCCCCAGTTTTGGCGACGTCTAGCTGATGTCTAGCCGATGCACTTGGCGGGACATGACTTTCAGAGGTAGGTGCAGTGACGTGTCAGCCTCGCTCTACAGGAGTGTCAGTGTGGGCGGAGGGAGGACAGGAGCCCTGAGGAAGTAGGACTCCTGCTGCTGCTGTGCCACCACGGGAAGAATCTGCATGGCCTGGGTGGCTGACAGGTCCCCGTGGAACCCCAGCATGCATGGCATGCACAAGCCGGTCGTGAAACAAGTGATGAGTTCCATGAGCACCTGGCCGGCTCCGTCAGCAGAGTGTCTGACTCTTGATCTTGGGGCCTGGCGCTGGAGCCCCACATTGTGTGCAGACATTACTAAAAAACTGGCAAGTTCCCGGTCAGGCGCTCCAACGTCTCCCAGCATCCCCTCCGTGGCCTGTGGACGCGTTCAGTGGGTAGGATTCCAGATGAAATGGATTAGCTGGGTAGAAGCCGCCCCTGCTGCGGCTTCAATGTGCTCCTCCACACCTACCCTATGCACATTTTTTGAGGACTTATTTATTTATTTTAGGGGGGAGGGGCGGAGGGGGAGAGAATCTTACAGCAGACTCCACACTGACTGCAGAGCCCAACAGTGGACTCAATCCCACGACCCTGAGTGATCTCAACTGAGCCGAAACCAAGAGTGAGATGCTTAACCAACTGTACCACCCAGCTGCCCCACAATACGTGTTCCAGTTGAACCTGGTAACTGTTACTCAGAAGAGGAAGGGAGGGTAGGGTTCACCTCCCATCAGTTGGGTTTGGGGTCTGGGTGAAAGTCTGCGAACTCCTACCTCTGTGACTCTCCTTTTGAAAAGTACTTAGATAACCGCTTATCTTAGGAACTCGCCAAGCAGGTGGATTTCCTTGACCCCTCTTCCTTGGTGATCTTTGGCTTGTAGGGAGAGGGGGGAAGATGAAGACCAGCGATAGATAGACAGATAGACGGACGGATGATAGACAGATAGAAGGTGAAGATGAGCAAGATGACTCAGCAGAGTCCTGGCACAGCCCTGGTGTACCTGCCAGGGGACCTGAGGGAAGGGGGTTAAGAAAACTCACTTGGAAGGTAAGCTGGTCTCTTCCAGGGTAGGACTCCTTCATCACCTGGATGAGATCTGGCCATGGACAGCAGGAAGAGGAGGGTGACAGGCAAGGTTCAATTTGATCACAAATCTACTTTAAGAAGAAAGTATTTTTAAGCTCAAACTCATGACCCCAAGATCAAGAGTCACACATTCCTCTGACTGAGCCGGCCAGTCATCCCACAAACCTACTTTTTAATGCATGTGCTTAAAAACCTGGAGGAGATACGCCAAAATTATAGTAGCCATTTACATATGGTTTCCCCATCCACGCTAGTCCTATGAACTTAAAATGCATCAATCAGGGCACCTGGGTGGCTCGGTGGGTTAAGGCCTCTGCCTTCAGCTCAGGTCATGATCCCAGGGTACTGGGATCAAGCCCCACATCAGGCTCTCTGCTCAGCAGGGAGCCTGCTTCCCCTTCCCCCTCTGCCTGCTGCTCTGCCTACTTGTGATCTCTGTCGAATAAATAAATAAAATCTTTAAAAAAAATAAAATGCATCAGTCAGTTAAGCATCCAACTCTTGATCTTGGCTCAGGTCATGATCTCGGGGCCATGGGATCAAGTCCCACATTGGGCTCCATGCTCAGTGGGGGGTCTGCTTGGGATTCTCTCTCTCTCCTTCTGCAGCCCTGCCCTGCTCATGTGCTCGCTCACTCTCTCTCTCGAATAAATAAATAATAAATAAAGAGGCATCATGTCTTATTTCAACTTCACTGGGTGTTAGTGTGGTTGAGTGTTTCTTATCGCATTTACTGACCACCTGGGATTCTAAGTCCATGAACTGCCCAGTCCTAGTACTTGCTTGTTTTTCTACCGGATTCTCTGACTTTTTCTTTAGATAAAATTCAGGGGTTTTTTTTCTAAGATTTTATTTATTTGAGAGAGAGAGAACATGAGCAGAGAGAGGGGCAGAGGGAGAGGGAGAAGCAGGCTCCCTGCCGAGCAGGGAGCCTGATGCGTGGCTCGATTCCAGGACCCTGACATCATGACCTGAGCTGAAGGCAGAGGCTTCACCAATGGAGCCACCCAGGCGCCCCTAAAATTAGTTATTAATGTTGCAAATGTCTTCTCCTTGCCTGGGGGTTGGGGCTGCAAAGAATGAATGGGGGGGCACAATTTAGTCCATAATAACTTGAAAGAGACATTTAGAACAGATACAACTGACCAAGGACTGGTTTCCAGAATATGCAAAGATTTCCTCAAAAAACACAAGAACAGCAACCCAGGAGAAAAAAGAGCGATGAGTGACAGTGAGCAGTTCCGGAGCAGGAAGCGCAGGTCGCCGTGTGCACATAGACGGGGGCTGGACCCCATGAGTAATCGCGGGGACGAGCAAAGGGACCACTTGACACCAACCGGAGTAAAAATCACGTCTGATACTGGCAGAGGACGGGGATTCGTGTTTCTCAGACAGCTGAGGGTCCGGGTGTGCAAGCACACTTTCTCTAATTAATCTTTTAAAAAGTGGAGTGATGGGGCACCTGGGTGGCTCAGTGGGTTAAAGCCTCTGCCTTCGGCTCAGGTCATGAGCCTGGTGTCCTGGGATCGAGCCCCACATCGGGCTCTCTGCTCTGCGGGGAGCCTGCTCCCACCTCTCTCTCTATCTGTCTGCCTCTCTGCCTACTTGTGATCTCTGTCTGTCAAATAAATAAATAAAATCTTAAAAAAAAAAAAAGGTGGAGTGATGATGAGAACCCAGATCAGAGAATTGGGCGGCAGATTCTTGGGGCGTGGAGAAGACCCCCTCCCAAGGGGTCCTTCCCTCATGAGCCCTGGGGGCCAGGCTGGGCTGCTCATCGGTGCTCTGAGCTAGCCCTGCACCCCAGAGCTCGAGATCCAGGCAGGAGCCAGCCAGTGGTCAAGTGGGAGCCCCGTGCAGGGCACTGTGGGACAGGGGTACCCCAGGAAGGCTGTGAAGGGGGCCTGGAGATGGACACAGGAGAGAGGCCGAGCTCTATTCCAGGCGAAGAAGGCACCTGCCACAGATCTCTGAGGAGACCAGGGTGAGGAAGGAGCGGGAACGCCAAACAGCCTAACTTGGTGCCCCAGAAAAAGGGATCCCAGACCCAGCAGAGGGCCCGGAGCCCCTTCCTCCTGTCCCCGCCTCTCGGGTAAGGGTTGGCTCCCCTCCTCCTCACGCAGCCTCTTCCCCCACAGCCACCCAGTCTGGTCGGCCTCCTCCTGGCTGGTCTCTTCCCTGCCCTC